ATAGATAGATAGATAGATAGATAGATAGATAGATAGATAGATAGATGATAGAAAAGGCGTACCTGGTAGATCGAGAATGGAAGAAAACTGGTGCGATCATGACAAAAATCAAATCAACGAGTTAAAAGAATGCTATACGACAGTTACTCCCAGAGGTAGCACTTCTTGGTCGGGTTCATCTTGGAGTTGAGTGGGCAGTTGAACGTCTTTGCGAACGCATCGTTGTTCTGGACGGCGCCGTAGATGCGGAACTTGCCGGGGGGTGTTCGTCTTCAAGCACAAGCTGGAGGTACGCGTCCGTGTTCTTCGAGCACCAGTTTTGCGCAAACGAGAGAAAGAAGACCTTGTCACCGACTTCCTTGGTGAACGCCGAGGGCGACACCGTTTCGGTGTAGTTGTGGAAGGCGCGGAACGCCGTCTTGAGACCGCCGTTGTCGGCAATCGTCTCACCGAGCGTCAAGCGGCCGTTCACATTGCCGAGCGAGTTGCCCGACGTTTCGCTGCGCACGTTGAAGGCGCTGTACTGGTCCATGATGCATTTGGCCTTTTTGTTGAACGCAAGCGACGTCTCATCGCTCCACCAGTCGGCCACGTTGCCGTCGCCGTCGTACTTGCGACCCGAGTCGTCAAAGCCGTGCGTGATTTCATGGCCAATGACCATGCCGATGCCGCCAAAGTTGCGGGCCGGGTCAAACTTGCCCGAGAAGAAGGGCGACTGGAGAATGCCAGCCGGGAACGTGATCGAGTTGACGTACGGTGCGTAGTAGGCGTTGACCTCGGCCGCGGGCGAGCTCCACTTCGTGCGGTCGACCTTGGTGCCAATGAGCTGTAAGTTGGCGTCGGTCTCGAACGTCGTGATTTTGTTGATGTTGGCAATGTACTCGGTCGCACTCAGGTTCAAACTCGGGTACGTCTGGGGCGACGTCGGCGCGCCAATCAAATGCACAAACTTTGAGAGCTTGGTGATCGCCTTGTCGCGCGTCTCTTCGTCGAGCCACGCGGCGGTCGCAATGCCTTGCTTAAACGACGTCTGCAGCGCCTGCACGAGCTCCTCGGCGCGAGCAGCCGAGTTGGTGTCGAACGTCGCCTTGACGAAGTAGTCGGAGACGAGGTCGCCGAGCTTCTCTTGGATGTCGGCCGTGCACTTCTTCTCGCGGCTCTGCTCGACGCTTTCACCGCCAATGAGCTTGCCAAAGAGCTTCCAGCGCGCCGTGCCAAACGACGGCGCGAGCGACGGCGCGTACGTGTGGAGGACCTTGAACTCGAAGATTGTCTTGAGCGCCGAGAGCGACTGGCCGCCGACAAGTGCTTCGACACGGTCGAAGAAGTCGAGGTCGTTGAGAATGATCTTTTGGCTATCGCAGTTCTTGGTGGGAAAGCCGTAGGCTTGGAGCTGCGCGCCAACCGTGAGCGGGTACTTGGCTGCCGCATCACAGTACGTAAGCGCGTTATAGTTGGCCGTCTTGGCCTCGAGCATCTCGAGCTTCGAGAGCTGAACGCCCGCGAGCTGCAGCTCAAAGTCGATGATTGTATTGGCCGCCGCGGTCGCCTGAGCCGTCGTCTTGCCCGCGAGCTTAAAGATCGACGTGATGTACTGCTTGTACGCGGGTTGGACCACGCGCCAGTACTGCGGGTTGACGTACAGCTGACGCGTCAGCGTCGACGGCGCTTGGGCCGAGTAGAGCACGTTGGCCGTCGCATCCTGCGAATCCGGGGCCACCTACAAGACAGCATCATAAGCGTCGATGGAATAAGCATGAAGCGCGTCCTACCACAGGTTGGGTGAACGCATAGACGCCCTTCTTGCTCAGGTTGGCCGCGACTTGAAGCAAGCCAGCCACCGACGTAGCTGTCTTGACGCTTTGGAGGTCGCTCGAGATGGGCGCGAGGCCCTCGGCGGTCAGCGTCCGCGTGTCGAGGCAGGACTTGTAGTACTCCGACACCTTGGGGTGGCCCGCACCGAGAATCTGGCGAATGATCGCGTCGTTCTTCTCGCCAAGGACGCTGAAGGACGTGTCGGTCTTGGCACGGTCCGCGGGGATCACAGCTTGCTTGTACCACCCGCCGCACGCGTACTGATAAAAGTCATCGCACGGGTTCGCGTCCGTGTCCATGAGTGCGCGCATGTCAGCGGGGATCTCGTTGATGGTGCCGGCAATGGCGACAGCGGCCAGAGCGCTGGCGGAGGCGATGATCTTGACCATTGAACGGAAATTGAATTGTGTTAAATGTGGGCTACATTTGCCGTGCACGAAATCACCAACACAACGATCGACTCGTCGATTCTTCTGCCATCAGGTATGGAGTATGCAGTACTAGTACAAGACAAATGATACTCGACAAAGCTTGATGCGTGGATAATCTGAGCACAGCGGCGTGCATGTCGTGGTCGTTGAATAGGGTTTGCGTTGACATGTGTCGAGACACGCGAATTGGTCCGTAACTAGAGACGTTCAAAAGCAAGCAGTCGCTGAGAAGCAGAGCCCGCTGGACACTCGACGCAACACGTTGAGCTGCTGACAGCATTCATTGGCCATGTCAGTCAGATCCGATTATCAGACGTCTGAGAATGTTCCTGAGAACTTGGTCACGCGACAAAGCCACTGTTGTACACCGATCGGTACAGTATTGCGGTATAAGGACATAGCGCCGTGCCTCGAGGTACATATGTACATGGACGAGCCAACTTAACGTGTGTTTGCGAAAGGTTGGTGCTTCATTCCCATGTGCCACTTGAGTGCAAGGCGACGGACAATGCATGCAGAGCGACATTCCAGGCCAGACGGTTATCAGAAACGGCACGTCTGATAACAACACTATAAGCGCGTACACTTGGCTAGGGCCATGATACGGGTGCGAAGTGTCTTACTTTTGCAAACTTGTGTCGACAACTCAATGCTAGAATATCCATGCCACGAAAGGAGGGGTTGTTCTTAGCTCTTTTCAAAAACAGTAGATATGTTTGGGATAGAATGAGTAGATTGAGCATACTAGTACCAAGTGGTGGATCGCGATGTGGAAGAATATCCTTCGCGGACAAGTACTTGAAGAAACCAATCGTTTCTTAGTCCAAACGCCAAATGAGAACCGACATATTTAGGGCCTTGTAGACTCCAAGTATTGTGTTTCAAGACTCTGGTCTAAAAGAAACAGGAACCTCAAAAAGTGAACCCGTGAAGTGCCAAGCTTTGAGAAGTGCAAACGTCTGACTTTGTGGCGCCGTGTCACGAAAAACGTGTCAGAGAGCCTGGGCTCTGATACTCCTTTTCTTTGCCGCTGACTTGCGTTTCTCGTTAGCGAGGCACGGACACCCCGTTGGGCACAGTGTGAAATCACATTGTACATCGTAAATATTAGCAATGTACTCGTAGCGCTCGGAAACTGCCCACACGCGGTAGTCGAAGCGGCGAACGAGACCGCACAGTGCTGCCCGTATAAGACATGTCATGGATGAACATGACCCTAGAGCCAATAAGGCTGGGATGCCATGGAGTAAAAAGATAGAGTGAGCTTCATGTCGTTGGTGTGGTACGATCGACAATGGAGCTACGTAACCCACGGGTTCTTGATTCAGTACTAGCTCTAGTGTCGTCATGGCCTCACTCGAGTTCACAGGCGCCCGCAGATCGCTACAGAACATCAAGACGAGCCTCCACACCGCCGTCTACGCAGCCACAGCCCGGTGAGCAAACGAAGAAGTTTGCTAGTATTGACGAATGCAATGCCGTTGTAACACGAAGATAACGCTAACCCAAGCCGCCATGGCTGGTTCGCCTCCACAAAGTTACCAAGTCGTTGACCGAGACGACGCCCGCCGAAGCCCGCCGACGTCGTGCCCCGCCACGGACGCGCTTGCAGCTACCGACCCGCCACCTGGGCGTCGAGGAAGACTTCTACAAGGCGCCTGCTGCCGTAGCCGCCGCAGCCAAGCTCCGGCTCCCCGACGCTATCTTACCCAAGTACGCCGACTTCATCTACCAAGTGATGCTCCGCGCGGTCAAGTTCCGCGCACATTTGCACTGGCTCGACAGGGCCGACCAAGCGTGCCTCTTCTGCCCCGCGCACGAGACGTACCGCCACTTCCTCGTAGACTGTGACTTCATCAAGGACGTGTGGAGCACGCTTCACGCCGTCACGGTCCCTTTGGGCGTGACCTTGCCGACTACGCTCTCCGGCTACCTCTACTCGACGCCCAAGACGGCGTCCAATATGCACCAAGCCGCGTTCCGCTACCTCTGGCCCGTGCTCCGCGCCTGCGTCTGGTTCAACGTCTGGCGAGTCCGGAACGATCGCGCTTTCGCGCCGACCTACCGCTGCCAAGTCCATGGACGATTGCCGTCAAGGTGGCACGCGTCGCTCAACTGCACTTGCACCACAGCCTCGTCAAGAGCCCGAGCGCCTGCTCTTCGTCGTCTTCTCCACCTCGCCCAACACGAGTGGCCGCGACGTCACCTCGTCGTTCCGCGGATTGCGCTCCTGCCTCCGCCTGCCTAAATCAAGTCCCGAGTACACAGTATTTGCGTTTGCGACGGCCATGTATGCGGTCACCCAACACGACACCCCGATGCAGTGAGCGCTCTGGGGCAAGGGCTGGTACTCGTGGCTATGAACGAATGTATTCACTAACGGAAGGACTTGCCGCGTACACTAACATCTTAAAAGCGGTTTTGCTGCTATAGTGGGCTTGATAATGAATAAAGTAGAATCGGACGGTCGAAGGCGGTGGATGTGACCGTTTCAACCCAGTGACCTCAACACAAGGGAATATAGATTGCCTCAACTATAAGCTAATAGCCTTGTAGTCTTACAAAATGTAGCTCCCGTGAATGTTGCTTCTACAGCCAAAGCCTCCCCATCTCCCCCCGATACTGATGACTCGGCTTTATCATCGCAGCGCCCACTCACATGACTCATGGGTCCACTGCCACGAGCAGCATAGTTTAGGACTACATGTACGCGCTTGCGTGCTCCACATTGTCTGGCTAGCCCGAAACAACCGAGTCTTCCATCCCGAGCGGCCACCAATCGCGTCACGGTTCTTGACCAATCTGCACCTGCAACATTTGCTGCTGAATACTCGAGCGCTGTGTCTCTTCCGAATGATTAACGTCCTGCGCCACGACGCCTGGCCCGCGACCACATCGTTTCGGCTTGCATCATCCATGCGCCTGGCCTTCGAGACGGCAATGCCTCGCTGCTGCCGCCAGTCACAACACGGTCTGAGTCTAAAGTCCACCTCCATAACCAGCTCACTTTAAATTACTGGTATATCGAAATAGACTCGATACATGTATTAATGTGCGCTTCAGCAACAATCGCCTTTGACCATCTTTGACCGTGCCATCGCACGTGGGACAACGCGTAGCAAGCCAGAATACTAATACAAAACCTGTGCGATGGGTGCGTCCACAATATCGCTAGATTCTGACCGCAACGTAGGGGCATAATTTAGAACTGACCGAGCCATTGTTTGTGGGCCATTAGCCTCAGCTAGGAGACGCTTCACGCCTCCACGGCTAGCAGTAGCTAGCGGTGGAGGCGTGAAGTGTCGTGCAACGTCCATGCCAAAGCATCAAACTGAGTCTCACACCGCCGTTTGTAATCTCATAACGCAGTTATCAGTTTCAGTTGGGTCAACCACTACCGGTACCGCATTTAAACTTTGTCAGCAAACATGTCCATCAGAATGTTCTCAACATGTCACCCACTGGACGGTCCGTCTCAAGGATTGTTTTCTCAAAATCAGATAACGTTAACGTTAAAACAGAAACTGCAATAACAGTGCCCATAGAAAATCTCCCGCGTACGCCCCAATAGCTTTTTTACAACCTACATGTACAATACTTAAACCAGCAATAGTATCAACGAATATATTTTCCATTCACGCTAGTCAGATTTGATGCGAATTTCGTGACGAATGAAAATGCAGGCTTGAAGCGACTACGTGCTGATCCCCATTTTTACCTACCTGTACCGGTATTGTAGGTTTTTCCAGTGTGGGGCTAGAAAGGGCACACAACACACATGGTTTTCAGAATCTGATTAGCCGTCCGATGGAGGCATTTTCAGACGACCTTGTCACCAAGCACAATTCCAACGGTGCGCCGATCCCTTTCGTTTCCTGATCAGAAAGGCCTCTTGCAACTGAGAATCTCAGTCGCAGGTTTACCACTCGACGGTGAAATGTCGTGAAAAGGACGAAAAATGGTGGGAGCATTGAGGCGGGGCTACAAGCACCGGCTCAACGCAGCCCATATCGTCGACTTCTACCTGTCGTCACCTGCATCATAGCAACAACTATCGCAGTACGACCAGGAAGCTCTGCACTACGCTAAGCTTAAGCCCGACGTCGCCCGCTCTCATCGACGACATCTCCTCCGTTTCGTGGGTGTAAAACCTACCCAATGAAGCGTGGCTCTTGCAGGCGCCTCGATTGTTTGGCGACTCGACATCAAAACGCGTGCTAAGCGCGTGCCCAGTGGGGCGTCACTGGTCAGCACCTAGGTGGAAAATGCAGTGATCGAGCAAAGCCGCTCCGCGCAATGGAATCTTGGCTTGAACCGATCCCCTTTGGGCGGACGCTGCTTCTGTGCCCACCATTTTAGTGCACTCGCACGGCTGTCGTACCTAACCCTGTAATCGTACCCGTTGAACTCACGTGCTTGTGCAAACGTCGAGCTCTTGAAAACCTGCCATCTGTCGGACGAGGGTTGGTCATGATTTCTGAGTTGGGTGCCGTCTGTTTTCACCTTGCACTGTACACTGTAACAACCCTCGTCGTTGCCGGCGCCGCTCGACAACTCGACTCATTCTCTCTTTTACCAGCTACCACCAGTATGGTCAAGATCATCGTTACCCTCGGCGCCTTGGCGGCGACGGCGCTCGCGGGCTCGGTCACCGAGTTCCCCAAGGAGGTCGCTGACCTCATGGACCGGGACGCTGACCCTTGCACGGATTTTTACCAGTACGCGTGCGGTGGCTGGATTAAGAACGCCGTCATTCCCGCGGACCGCTCGACGATCGACACGTCGTTCAGCGTCATTGCGGCCAAGAACGACGCCGTCATCAAGAACATCCTCGCGGCCGGCCACCCCAAGCTCTCCGAGTAC